GCCGGGAGCGCCCAGCGGGAGCGGACCTGGCCGTGTCACCTCGGTACCGGGTGCTGGTGTGCAGCAGAGCTGCCGTCACGCAGACCCCCACGCCGAACTGTCAGGGACGTGAAACGAAACTCCAAAGCCTTTAGCCTTTCTGGTGTTCTGCTCTGGCAAACAGGAAAAGTAAAATTTTCTGTTATAAATGAAATCAGAATTTTGACAACTAGGTCTCTTGAGCTAATAACGGTTTAATTAAAAATTAATAGAATTTAGTAAATTGAATAGTAATTTGGTATAAAAGAATGCAGTTTAGTAAAAGGGTACAATTTAGTAAAAAATACTATTTATATATATAACTTACCAGAAATTAAGTATGATTAAAGCATAAGCAAAACTGACCGGGGTATGGGGAGGGCTTGTTACCCCACCTCACGTACAAAACCGACCAGGGTACGGAGAGGGTTCCCCACCCTGCCTCACATACAAAACAAAGCACTTCAAGCTAAACTTATATATTGTATACTTATACATATTCATTAATGTTTCCTGTAAGTTTCCTCCTATTTCAGACTTTTCTGATTTTATGTCACTATTCTTCACAGCACATACTTCACTTCTTGTTAGCGGGTCTTCAGTCTTCTTTTGGTGGTCTTTTGGACAAAGGTTATTTGTGAGGACAAATAACCTCACAGGTTTGCACGTGCGTACTAAGCGTTGTGTTATGTAAGTCTACTAATCAGTCTTATATTTACTGATTTTTAGGCCCTATGCCTAAAGTCGTTCTAATTTTGTCCATCTCAAGGCCGATTTCATCTTAGGACATCACTTATCTTCCAAACTGCATCCTGTACCTCAATTTTAACATGTAACATCTGTAAAGGGGTGCATCTGCCTTGTAACACTGATTCTTTTGATTGCTTCTAATAATAACTTTCCAAATAGTTACAATTTAGTTAGCACAAATAAATTCCATTTATTACATTTTCTTTGCGGTGTTTTTTATCTAAAACATGTCACATCTACCACGTGCAAGTTATATCTACTCCTTTTTACAGAACCACAGAATTGTTAGGATTGGAAGGGACCTCAGGAGATTCCCTGGTCCAAAGCCCTGCCACAGGATTGGTGTTTAATGTCTCAAGAGAGGAAGATTCCATGACTTCCCTGGGCACTGTCGCCCTCAATGTAAAGTTCTTCCTCGTGTTTAGGTAGAACTTTTTTTGTTTTAATGTATGGTCATTATATCTTGTCCTGTTGCTGGGCACCACTGAAGAGAGTCTGGCAGCATCCTGTTGGCACCTGTCTTTGAGATATTTGTACACATCATTGGCATCTCCTCTCAGTCTTCTGTAGGCTAAACAGGTCCTGTAGTCTCTCCTCATTAGAGAGGTGCTCCAGATGAGATCCCTCATCATCTTTGTTGCCCTTGGTTGGACTGTCTCTGGTACTCATTGTCTTTCTTTGTACTGAGGAGCCCAGAACTGGATACTGTACTCCAGATGTGGCCTCACTAGGGCAAAGCAGAGGGAGAGGAGCACATCCCTTGACCTGCTGGCCACACTCTTCCTGTTCTCTTAGTGGCATTTTTTGTCCCTCTACACATAAAGCTGGATTGGGCTGTCTTTAGCTTGATTCCTTCATCCCAGGCTATGAAGGCTGATGCTTCTAATTTTGGATTCACAAGTTTCTGCTTCTGGCCAAATTTCAATTGCCATATTCACTATATTGAATGTAGCTCTTGGGTGTTGGGTGTCCTTCCTTTTGTTCCGTCTCACCTGTGGAATTTTTTATCCATTAGTTGTGGGGAAACCTGATTGATGGTACTAGCTGAGTGCCTGAGAAACACAGGGCATTTGGCTGGGCCCGGCGGGGAGGACGGGGGCAGCTGGGGACTGGCTGGTTTTCTTGGGCTGGAGAGCGAGACACTCTCTCAGAGCTGTTGTGGCTGGGAGAAGGGAATTTGCCATCACCCAGACGGAGCTGCTGCTGCTTCTTCTTTCTTGTCTGTGTGCCTCACACCCCCTGTCCTGCCGGGACATGTGGCAGTGCCAGCCACCGCCGCGGAGCTGCTGATCCACCTCAGCCACCAGCCCAGGATCTCTGCTCATCCCTCTGCTGATCCACCTCAGCCACCAGCCCAGGATCTCAGCTCATCCCTCGGCTGATCCACCTCAGCCACCAGCCCAGGATCTCTGCTCATCCCTGCTGTTCCAGCCGAGTGCTCCTCAGAGCCCTGCAGGAGCACCGGCACTGCCCACCCGAGGGGGTTGTGAAACAAAGCCTCTCCTCCATCCCTTCCCATCTCGGCCGAGAAGGCTCTCACAGGGTCCCTGGTTCTGTTTTCTTGTTAATGCTGTAGTTATTGTTTTGTGTGTTATATACACTAGTAAAGAACTGTTATTCCTATCCCCAGATCTCTGCCTGAGAGCCCCTTGATTTCAAAATTATACTAGTTTGGAGGGAGGGGGTTTACATTTTCATTCCAAGGGAGGCTCCTGCCCTCCCTACCAGACACCTGTCTTCCAAACCAAGACAGCTCTACTGGAGGGGTGGTATGTGTTACAGCAACACTCACAGGCAGTAGTGAAACAGATAAATTAATAATTAGTAATCATGCATCAAAAAATGCTTTGACTGAAAGAGGGAAGGTTGACAAAACCATATGGGATGCTTACTGCTCCCACAAGAGCAGGAAGAGAGCAAGACTACGAGGTAAAGTAAAGAGCTAGAATGCACAAACAGGATAAGGGGATTCTTTGGACCCCTAAGCTGGGAGAAACGGTATCAAAGTCCGAAAGATGGTCAAAGGACTAAAAGGAGCATGCACAAGGAGACAAGGTGAAAAGTTCAACTGAGAGGAAGATTGATTAC